ACGATACGATGAGTTGATGTAGACGATGATGTGACTTCCACGTAAGATCTTATAGATTAGGCAGTTATATCATGACGAATCTACAAATTTAGAATTAGGTCTAGGGAATGAGTTTAATGGGACGACTGGATCGGCTTTTAAATTTATCTTATCTAAATATTTTGTCAAGCAGTGCTACGTATTCAGTTTCGCGACTTTCTGAAACCAAACTCATTTACTAGAAGTGTACAACCAACTTCACCAGTTTTCTGAGCCTACTTTTGCGTTTGTTATACTTAAAGTCTGTAATAACTGTGGTTAACCGACTAACAGTTGGCCGTAAACATATTAGTAATGTGCATTATGGCTCAAATATTCGTTCGCCTCCTTATATTGTATAGGTATTGTATTTGCCATTATATCCAATGTCGAAAAACCTAATGATTTTGAGACAGATAGCTCCGTGCTCCATTAGTACTGTTCTATGATCAAAATAAAAACCTATTCACCGCTGGTTCGGTTTATTACACTGACAGGACGATGGGGGCTCACCGACACGTATTTGAGGACACCGATGGGGTTAAAGTTTTGGGCTTAAGCCAAAAGGCATGAAGAATAAGTCAAGCTATAGGTTCTTACCCACAAGTTTTATATGAACGAGTTTTTTTACAGGCACTTCAACTTCCGCAATTTTTATGCTTGTTATATAGCCTTAGCCCAGTTTATTAGAAGTTTCGCGTAGTTGTGATTCACTACCTGGGAGAATGTTAAGTCAAGTTAAATGCAGTTATTTGTATCAATCTGAACTCAGGCAAGTGAAATGCGTTATTTACCAAGTCATAGATAGACTATAAACAAACTTTTGTACAAAAGTGAGCTCTAAATATCCTTAACATGTAATATATAACCCAAAATGATGCTAATAAACAAGGATGCCTGTTAGTTGTTTGGTAGACGCACGTTGAAGCGAGTTTGCGTCGAATTATTTTTTAACATTATACAAGTCTCTAATATACAAACATAAACAATTCTGATCATTAAAACTATCATCATTTCATCCGAAACTGTTATAGTGTTATGTAAATTATTGTGATGATCAAAAGTATTTGAATTATTGTACGAACTACGAATCCCAGAAATAACGCAGTTAAGTCCAAATAGGACTAGATGAGCACAAATGAACGTATTGTACTTGGAATTCGAAACCAGACAGCCATCAAGTACAAAGGAATCATTAGTTCATAAAAACATCACAATCGTCACAGCTCAAATGAGAATTCAAATTTCGGAAGTCGATTATACCTCTTCTGCTTAGGTTCATCATGTGTCTGTCCGACTGTGTATTGAATGTAGACTCTGTATGACGTAGAATATACTCAGTAGTATTAGATTTAACAACTGAAATTGGAATGAACTCACCTGGGTCCTGGAACTAAATGTGATCAACATGTCGGCTGTGTACTAAAATTATTGATATCTATAATTTTAACCTTAGATTTTACGTCAATATCGTCCCTCCATGAAATAATGTTGAATCTTTATGTCCCAGTTTTCATTATCTCCCCACATCTCACGCTTTGAGTATCATACGTGAGTATTTGGGAACGCACACTTACATATCATTTGAGGCATTCCTTCATGTGAATTTGACTTGCATATAAAATATGGTACATATTCTTTTTGCTTCTCACGTTGGAATACATAAGACCATTGTTCCAGTTATCAGATAAATATTGGTAGATATGTAAAATTAACACATGTGATTCGTCTGGCTTGATTCACCTGCAAAACAATCAAATGGAAGTTATGCGTCTGCCTCATACTCATTAGAATAAACTTGGACTCGGTTTGAATTTCCTATCTGTGGAAACTTCATATCTGGGCAAACCGGTTCTCCGATTGCTTCGAGAAAACTTGCTATTCCCTCTAACTCATCATAACAGTGACTAGGAAATCTACTCGACATACACTGTTAGTGCGAGTATCCAAAATCCGATACAATATCATCGGAAAGGTAACTAGTACTCGGCTCATTCGAAACATATCTGTCACATTCATTGTTGATACCATTAGAGACAAAACTATTGTGGGGACAAATAACACCTGATGAGACACCATAAGGACTGTGATACGATTTTAGCTAATTTAGAGCTTGTTTCTCACACTGAGACACGATTTCACTAGAAATAAATTAATCAGTAAGGCAAACCACACCCGATAGAAGAACATCAGAGTTCTGATCAGGATTTGGTGAACTCCAAACATCTTTCACATATTTGTGAATGATTTTATTAGAAATACATGAGTCATTAAGACAACGCATATTTAGTAAAATAATATCATAAACCCGAACAGTGTTATTCACTCGTAACATTCAACTTAATGTAACGGAAAAAGAACGATGGAAATCCCTATGCAGCTTCTTTGTTGAACAGTATTGTCTTTTTTTCGTTCCTTTTCCCTGTTGTGTATTTTAACCTTTGTTCACATCTCGTTTAACTACATTTTTTGTTCTTCAGTCTTACTCGTTTGAGCCTTTATTATGTGATTTTGATTAAAGACTTACCTTTTGTTACCTAATTTTCTATTACATGTTACCGGACCATTGACAGTAAGGTCGTGTTTGACTAAGCTCAGGGTCACAGCGTGGCTCAGTGTATGACTGTTAACCTTCTGACTGTCTGCTTGGGAGGATTGCTGGAATCCCTGCAGATAGATATTTGATCCCATCTTGTTGGGAATACTTGTACTGATTTTCAGGTATCGAACCCTTTGGCATTAACTGTTTATATTGAGCACAGAGTTGTGTTTTAATATAATATAATACGAGTGTCTCAAAAACGAGTTGTGAGCTATACAGAGGAACGTGGTCTGGTCTAATCGAATAAATTTTGGGTTCTTCAGTCCGTTTTTCCAATCGACTATTGGTTATTCGGTCGCAACACTTAATAGGATCGAAATTACAAAGTTTAACATTACTTGAAGAGAACTGAATGGTAGTATTAAAAACTGTTTATGTGCTCAATTTTACCACCTTTAAAGCATTTAGCATTACAAAATTATAGTGTTTCGAATTATTTGAATTATAGTACGAACAGGGTGGATCTGATGCAGATGTGAAGGCGCTGATCGGCAAAGCAAGAGCAGCATATTTACGACTGAGGAACATCTGGAACTCAAAGCAACTGTCAGCCAACACCAAGGTCAGAATGTTCAATACTAATGTCAAGACAGTTCTACTTTAATAATAAGGATAATAATTTATTCTCAAATAACAGTTTGTTACATGAGGCACGCCAGTTTACAGGCAAGGTCAAATTGATACAAATGATACAATATCCACTGTAGTAAATTACATATCTGGGTTGATAAATTATAAGATATGAATGTAGATTGTTTTTAATCAGTACTACAGTTGGCGCGCTTCACGAAAGTTGCGTTGCGAATGTGCAACTGATGGCCAAGGATAGGAAGGAAGGGAGGAAACTTGGAGAACCACGAAAGCCATCTTCTAGAAGATACAGGTGTTTATTAACAGTTGTCTATGCAAAATACTTCGGATCCGTTGGCCGGACACTATTAGCAACAACCAACTGTGGGAGAGAACAAACCAGATCCCAGCGGATGAATAAATCAGAAAGAAGCGCTGGAAGTGGATCGGACACACATTGAGGAAAGCACCCAACTGCGTCACAAGGAAAAGAGGAAGACCAAAGAACACATTGCGCAGAGAAATGGAAATAGACATGAGAAAATTGAACAAGAATTGGATGGAACTAGAAAAGAAGGCCCAAGACAGAGTGGGTTGGAGAATGCTGGTTGGCGGCCTATGCTCCATTAGGAGTAACAGGCGTAAGTAAGTAAGTAAGGACGAACTAAAAATCCCCGAAATAACGCAACTGAATCAAGAAGTACGATAAAAGCACGAACGAAAGTATTGTATTTAAAATTCGAAATCGAGCACTCAACGATTACAAAAAAATCATTGGTTCGTTCAAGCACCACAAAAATACACATGAATTATATGAGTATAATAAATATAAATGTAGTTGCATATAAATTGTGACAATTTAGTGAAAAGGTTTTGTTTTTGTTGTCACAAAAATCAGTGAATATACATGATGAAGAACACGCTTAGGCTAGTGATAGAACAATATATTTGATATGAATAAAAAGCATATGTTACCACTCAATAATAATCACGTTTGCAAGGCAGAGCCATGACGTTCGATGGATTCGGACTAATTCAATTCATTGTTCTCGCCTTCTCCACCGTTGTGTTTTTTTTCGCGTTAAATGTTAATTATCTATTTTCCGAGTTGTCTGCTGTTCAGCTTTGAGGATTGTGTGATTAGGGCCCACCGACACTACAAAACCGCGACATTCAGCACACATACACGTCTTATTTTTATCAAACTATTTCTACTTTTAAGGGTTTCGCGCGTGGTTGTCTGTCAATTATTATTTTATCCAATGCCTGTCTATTTGACGCACTACAATTTGTCTATCTTTTACTGTTTCCCTTTGGTAACGAGGGTGTGTATAATACGTATCTTAAGTTCATTCTTGTAGTTGACTTATTTTATTACTCTAATCTCTAATGCGAAACACTTCGTTGATTATATACGAGCGTAGTCGCCATATGCATCTCAGTAACACCATCACACCGTAAAATCGGACTCAGATCAACTAACCGCAATAATTATCGTTGATATTGAGGGGGTCGGTAAACTATTCGAGTCCCAGTGACAGGCTTGATAAATGATGTTGATAGAGCCGTGACGCTTTACTTTTTCTACAGACACGTTGATTCTTACCACATGATGTTTAGACCAGCGTTACGTGCTATTAATATTCAAGAGTCGCACCTTCTATCTATGGGGTCAACACGGAGATATCAATCGATCCTAACAATACAGACTTATCGGTAATGTTTGAAGGCCACTTTTAAGTACCTAGAATCACACAAAAATAACAATAAGTGAGTGCAAAAAGATCAATCAGTTTATACAAACTCGTGACCAAGACATTGGGTATTGTATTTAAGCGCTATGTTTATAAATTGCGGTACTTGAGCTTGACGACAGAAATACTTTATGGCTGCTTCTTCTGTGAGTCACAACCCATGGTGGAGTTTCTTTGTTTGGTTCATTGCTGTGAACTGTTGGCCATTACTGTAAATTTCAGTTCACAAGGCTTGCTCATATTGTACATAAGACGCATCTACTGTACGATGTACTGCGCTTGGGTCAATAATGTAGGGACTTATCATTATTGTGCTTTATCTATCGTTTAGAATTCTGTTCATGTGGTCAACCTAAAACACCGTCAATAAATTTAAAAATATCCCATCACATTGATACGATATGTGACATGTCACATAGTACTGTCAATGGATTTCTTTGTAGTGGTTGCTATTATAGTTAGTTAATAAAAGGTTGTCTATTATTTAGCCAAGAAGGTCACTGGGCCTCGAACGTAAGCATTCCGGTCTTATTTCGCAAAACAGGAATCTATGTTTGGAGATAGACATTCCACAATTATATATGTACGACAATAGTGGTAACTTTGATTTTTTTCCCAATAACTTTGATATTCACTCTTTACATACGAAAATAGTTTTACTTACCACTCGTCATTGTATAGAACTCGGAATATAATACCTTGTCAATTCTTCACTAATAGTCACCTAACCTGACTGAATTCTAAATTGTAATTCGTAATTGTAGAAAACTGAAATAGGTTTTTATTGTCTCTATATGGGTTTCTACAAACTACCACTTGGATCCTGTTAAGTGGGTTATCCTATCATCAACCGAGATGTTAGGCAAAATTAGTTTACAATGTCATAGTGCCATATACAAATGTAGATTTCCAAGTTAGGTATCTCCGTCCCAGAACCAATAATTGGTTATCTTAATCCATGAAGCGGTGGTAATTTTAGCTTTTGCATGGTTATTAGTAAGATGAATTATGATAGCATACATATTACGTCTGTTGTGACGACTGTTATCACTACTTAATTGTCCTAATTGTGGTAGACTGAGCTAATTTCATTGGATTTATAACTACATTTACGTCTATTGCACTTCTGAACAATTTTGCAGCAACTTGATGCAGAATGCGTTGACATTCGTTAGATGTTAATTAACAGCCTCAATCAGTGTTATAAGACATCACACTTATTTTCCAATGCTTTCCATCATCCTCAAAAGCGTTTGCACACCATGAGATTTCGCATATAGTTTAACGAACAGTCGTTTAGAGATAACATCAGTTGAATATCTTTAGCTGCAGTATATTGGAAAAGCTGCTTTTACTGATAAACACCAACTTTTCTCACAATGTGCCATTGGTCACTTTTTCAGAGCGCATCATTTTGTTAGTGTTGTTGCATTCTGAGTAGCTTTCTCAGTTATATTTACTGTGAGTAAGAATCTCAAGGAGAATACTTTATTTAGGATTCTTAATAAATTATTCATTCGTGTGCTGTGTAAAAGGTTATGCGCTACTTATAGCCAACGTTTTATAATTAGTTATGTGGTTTGCGATTTTAGTCAGGTGCTTGACTGTATCATCACCCTTCTCAACTATCTAGTTTGTTACACTTCTTGTCATAAGAACTGTTAGATAAACAAATCAAGTAAACCCGCAAAATGTCACGCTAAATTATGTAGAATTATTGATATTTTTTCTGGGGATTCAGCATACTATCAATGTACTGAATTTAGTTTTTACATGATTTGCTTCCATTGTTAATTTTAGATAAGTTGCTCAGATAAATCGACAGTTTAGTTTGATATAATGGAGGGTATTTTATTAAAATGGACAAATTATGTTAGTGGTTGGCAACAACGATATTTCATTTTGGATGATGGAGTTCTGTCATACTATCGATCCAAAGAAGAAATGAATAGTGGATGTAAAGGATCGGTCAAATTATCTGTATGTGATGTTATAGGTGAGTTTCGTGTAAATACTGCTAGTTTATTGCGTACAAATGATACAGTTCATAGTTCCGATCCACGAAGATTTGATTTGATCCTTGGTGAACAAAGATATTATTTGCGTGCTTTATCGCGGGCAGATCGACAAAGATGGGTTATAGCACTTGGTAGTTCAAAAGTAGGCACTGCACAATTAAAGTCAGAAGACGTAAATATATATGGTAAGTTTAAATATATATTTGATTTCCTCTCATTGCCTAACTCCAAACTTTGTATGTATACTTATATTTTCATTTTCGGATTTTTTATCTTAATCATAACACGTGATCGGTAATCAGTTATTCTGCTTCATCCCTGTATTTCTTGGAGTAGCTCTTGATAATACCCACTTTTTCAAATAAAATAAGATGAAATGGTGGGATTTAAATTTAGGACTGAACTGTTTGAAGTTGAGTGTTTTGATCAGTAAGCCATGGATCCTTAAACTATGTGAGGATTACTTTTAATTCCTCCTACGTAATACATTTATTCATTTATTTTAACACATAGATATTGGTACAAAGAGACACCAAATACATATGCGCCACACAAATCTCATTCGATATGTGTGAGGGCTGTGATACTGCCTGGGTGCCCAAACTGAAGCAGGTGGTTTTCTTAGGAGGCCACACCCCGAGTTTTTTACTTAAAGGTCTGACCCACAGGGCAGTGGAGCATCGTAAGGAGATGCAGTCCCATGGAAGCCGGTGACCAACGATTGGTTCATACGCCATTTGTTTATTGAGGATACTGGAGCCCATGTGCACCATTGGTTTGGGGTCCGGTTAAAGCTCCGGACATTCGCGTTTCGTCCTCTCAATTTCGTAAACGACACCCCGCCACGAGAAAGCAGTGAGGCTATATATGCGTGGCCATGTGAGAGCATTTGGAGAAGGAGAGCGGACTCTCCCCACTCTCGGCCATACCAGGGCATTTGGGGGCTACGTAATACATATCACATAGAGTAGCAATGGAATATATACTCCAATTCATTAGTTTATCTATAATATGAATAATGCGGTGCTGAAATATGTTTACAACCTAAGTTGGTCAGAGCAGAAATAAATTGATTTTTAGACATCCGACTTTCAGCCGTTCAGATAATCGTTTTCAATATATCTACACTTTTCAATATGGAGTTGTGGAGATTGTTGTGTTTGACTAAAATCATGAGTCGATCTACATTTAATAATATTTTATTAACCATATAGTCTTATTACTCACTATATGATAAACGTGGCTCAATCAGCTCGCAAGACACGGGTTTTCTTATTCAATTTAATCAGTGGAATAATAAAGTAAATCGAAATTAAGCCTACTGACTGGCGAATTATTTAATACGAAAAATTGCTTATTCATTGTTAGAACCTTCACAGACCCAATTAATCGATAATCATCGTTCTGAATTGCGTCTTTATCATAATTTGATGGTACAACAAGTTAAAGAGATTCAAAGTGAACTAAAAGAAGGTACGGTCCCAGATATGAATGTAAGTTTTTGGTCTTCTAATTTCTGTTGATTTAAGTTTTTATCGTTGGTTTTCGTTCTACTAATTTTTTTAAAAACTGTAGTCACTATTCTCAGTATTGAGTTCAGTCTAAGTATTTCCATACATCAGTAGGGGTATTGGTCACAGAAGTGTACTGGATTTTCACAAACACGTGTGATACAACATTTGATAAACATCTTGTAAATGAATCTAATAAAAGCAGAAATCGCAGTTTCTTAAGTGAATTTGAGCGATGTATATTGGTGGGTCGAGCTGGCTGTCATCCACTGTGATCATGACATCTTTCTCACTAGCTAATTTCAACACCGGTGACCTTGAGTATATTCCCTAATCATTGCAATCATATATATGTGCAGCGTACTAAGCGACCTTTTTTTGTCTTGTCTACTCTGTTGGCCGGGTTTATTAGTTTAGTAATTAACATATTTGGATCATTTACAGGTGTAAATTTGTTATCGGGTAATTTGTATCAAGATAAATGGTGAGTTAATCGGCTAATTGTGTTTTATGGGTTTTTAAAACAAAGAAGTTGACGGAGATCATCGATCATGAGTTTCACTGAATATGGTTTGTAGTCAGTTTTCATACTTTTTAAAACAGAAGTAGTGTTTCTTTTCTCTAATCAGTCCGTAATAGGGCGTGGGTTCGAATCCCACATCCGCCACCAATTTGTAGCACGTACTATTAGCGTTGATCTGCGAGCAGGAGCGATCTGAAACACAACACAACAGTCAGAACCGACAGATGCTACTCAAGTGAGAACACGGCGTACGAGCACAACATAGATATATTTCAAAGTTGAATTACGCGGTTTAAGTACAAAAACGGGAAGTCTATTACAAAATGGTTTTACTCATTATCCCGCAGGTTTAACTTGCGCAAGGCTTGTTCTTCCTCTTCTAGTACGTTCACTTTCTGTTGCCCTGAAACAAGGAAAACAAACTTGCACTAATAAAGTCACACGTAATGGTTTTTGATACTGATACATTATCCCCTCTCTCCATGAGGCACTGTCCTCAGTGCCTGGTGCTGGACATGAGTATGCTACCCCTCCCTCTGGTGGCACTTCATAATGGCTGACGGCAGTCGGCGGGTTGACGGTCGGGGTATCTAAGTGCACCGTTGTTCTATCGGGCTTCAATTGATTGTAGTGTGTTGTAATAACATCGTCTTGGGGTCGTTGGAGGTTACGTAAGACGAATGTAGTGGGGGACCGCGTAAACACCACTTCATAAGGTCCTTGCCAAGGGTGATGGAACTTGCTACATGTCCCCGGTGGAGTCAAAGGGTGGTGCAGCCACACACGATCTCCGGGTTTATACACAGGTCCGTTCGCCTTGCGATCGTACACATCCTTTTGGTGCCTGCTGGCATTTTGTAAGTTGATGTTCACTAAGCTATAGGCGGTTGCGAAGGTTACGGATGTATACTACATGATCTTGGGTCTCGCATGGTAACAACGGTATTTGCAGCTCAACGGGTAGGCGCAATTCATGTCCAAAAAGTAGGGTCGCGGGTGAAAGTCCCGTAGATCCGTGCACTGATGCGCGGTAGGCTAACAGACATTGTGGTATCACATCATCCCAACATTCCGTCGACGACTTATTGATAAACGACTGTAAGAAAGTTTTGATAGTCCTGTTGGTTCTTTCCACCAAGCCGTTACCTTCTGGATGATATGCGGTAGTGTGTGTTTTTCGGATTCCCAATAATCGACATACCTGAGCGACGAGATGACTTTCAAAGGCTGAACCTTGGTCAGAATGCAGTGAAAGGGGAGCGCCGTACCGGGATACCCAATGATCAATGAAAGCACGAGTGACTGTGAGGGCATCTTGTTGTGGTATAGGAACAGCTTCACACCATTTGCTGACATAGTCTACCATAACTAGGATATAACGGTTTCCGTTCCTTGATGTTGTGAGTGGCCCCATAATATCGATGCCAACTCGCTGATGCGGACCTTCTGTTGTCATTAAAACTAAGGGTGCACGAGGTATTTGTCGGGGTGACTTGATAGCATACCACGTGCTACAATTTTTGCAGAATTCGGCAACGTCTTCATGGATGGATGGCCACAAAAACCTCTGGCAGATAGCATGTTCAGTCTTCCGTTTTCCTGAGTGCCCCAGTTCTCGGTGTACCTGCTCCATAATATTCTGAACCTGTACACGTGGTACTATCAATAGTGGCTGTTTTGATTCGCTGACTATAAATAACGTGTCTTCATACAATCTTAGACTGCTCCACTTGGCACACAGGCGGCGCGTCGCCAAGGAATGATCCTTCAACTCTGTCATAGATGGTTTATTATTGCCATGTAGTTGCCTCTGGTAAATAAATCGCAGATCAGGGTCTGCTGCTTGAAGCGACGGCCAGTTGATATCGGGGGCTGTGCTAAGAACGGCATTAATGGTATCAAGAGAATAGGGTATACGAGATAGGGAATCGGCGTTTGTGTGTCGGCTTCCGGGTCGGTATTCGCAAGTAAAATCAAATTCCTGCAACCTCTCCTGCCAGCGCGCTACCTGACCTTCTGGTTCACGGAATGAACGAAGCCACTGTAGTGCACGGTGGTCTGTGCGTACACGAAAGGGTCGTCCTAAGAGATAGTGACGAAAAAAAAATTTTACCAAAGCCAGCATCTCTCGGCGCGTCGTAGAATACCGTGTCTCTCTTTTATCTAGCCGCCGACTAGCATACGCTATGACCCGTTCCTTTCCGTCTTGTGCTATTTGAGACAGGACTGCTCCAATAGCTGATGAGCTAGCATCTGTATCAAGTATAAACTCACCCGCTTTAGCCGAAGTGTCCGGAAAAGCCAGGTATGGGCGGAGCAGCAAGAACTGACTTCAAAGTGTTAAATGCGTGTTGGCATTCTGTGGTCCAAAAACATTTTCGTCCTTTATGCGTCAGGCGATGTAAAGGTGCTGCCAGGGATGCGAAATCGCGTACGAAACGTCTGTAATAAGAAGCGAGCCCCAGGAAGCTGCGAACATCCTGGGCAGATTTCGGTTGTGGCCAGTTAATAATGGCGCTCGTTTTTGCCTTATCCGTTGCTACTCCATCTTCCGTAATGCGATGCCCCAAAAAGAGTACTTCTTTTTGTAAGAGTCGACATTTAGATGGTTTTACTTTGAATACGTTGTAGAACTGCCCTTAAATTGGCATTATGCTGTTCCGACGTGCTGCCATACACGATAATATCATCCAGGTAAATTAAGCACTTGTGTGGTACGAGACCATATAGAACTGTCTGCATCAATCGTTGGAAGGTGGCTGGGGCATTAGTTAGCCCGAAGGGCATCACTTGAAATTCATATAGACCATTGGGTACTATGAACGCGGGTTTTTTTTCTATCTTGAGGTCGAACCTCCACTTGCCAATACCCTGATGCTAAGTCTAGAGTCAAGAACCAGCGAGCGCCTTTCATAGAATCTAATGTAGCATCAATTCGTGGAAGTGGAAAAGAATCGCGTTTGGTTATAGCATTAAGGCGTCTGTAGTCTACACACAGTCGTAGGGAGGAGTCTTTCTTTTTCACTAAAACAATAGGCGATGCCCATGGTGATGAAGATGGTACAATGATCTTTTTCTCTAGCATATCTTTTATCATTGATTCTAATTGAGGCTGGTAATGTACTGGTACTCGACGAGGTGGTTGACGTAATGGCATGTGATCACCTGTGAGGATGGAGTGCTGTACAGTGGTCGTCCGATTTCCAGAGATATTCTCAGAGAAAACGGAACTAAATTGTTGGAGTACATCAGTGGTTGCTCGACGGTCTTTTTCACTTATTATTTTATTATTTTGTACCTGACGTACAATCTCTGCAATTCCCACCTGGGCTACGGTTTCGGTTGGCATTTCCTGGCGTTGTAGTTGCACGACAAACCCCCTCTGATTCCAATCAGGGCTGCTCCCAGTTCAACCCCACGCCAACCACCACTGCCTGAAACGTCGTCAGATTATTCCGTTTGGAAAATTAAAGTCACAGCGTACCTTCAGAGAGTTCCATTGACCGAACATTTCAACTATCTCGTTTCTTATCTGAGCGATGAAGCGGCGTGATAAAAACTGAATTGTCACATGCTGGGTGTCTGCGGGCATGGAAAAACAGTCGTCTAGAATTCTCCAGTTTTGTGAGAGCGCGTTACTGGCCGCAAAACCATTCGCTATAGCCCTGCGTACCGCTTCATCGCTCAGATAAGAAACGAGATAGTTGAAATGTTCGGTCAATGGAACTCTCTGAAGGTACGCTGTGACTTTAATTTTCCAAACGGAATAATCTGACGACGTTTCAGGCAGTGGTGGTTGGCGTGGGGTTGAACTGGGAGCAGCCCTGATTGGAATCAGAGGGGGTTCGTCTAGATTCTCCTCACGTTTTTCCGTCGGCACCTCCACCATCAAATGGTGGTTTTCATCACGCCATTAGAAAGCAAGCGAGAGTCCAATAGACTATCTTCATTCCCTGCAGCAAGTCGCAGTACAAGCATTCCCTCGTTTAGATACAATGGGACGAGAAGAATTAATACGCTCACGTTTTGTCGAAGGCCTGTTGCCCGGACCACTTAAAGAACACTTTCTTCGAAATCCACCAACCGATACGTCTGACGTAAAAAGAACAACATTACGCTTCTTGGCAGCTGACAAACTAGTGAATTTATCCAGTGTACATTCATCATCAGTAACGACTGTGGAACGAGCTACAAAATCTAGTGGCCTGGACAGCTGCCAGACTGCGATGGCTGTGTCCGACCTTCCCGGCCGAGGTGCTACGCACAGACCACCGTGCACTACAGTGGCTTCGTTCATTCCGTGAACCAGAAGGTCAGGTAGCGCGCTGGCAGGAGAGGTTGCAGGAATTTGATTTTACTTGCGAATACCGACCCGGAAGCCGACGCACAAACGCCGATTCCCTATCTCGTATACCCTATTCTCTTGATACCATTAATGCCGTTCTTAGCACAGCCCCCG